CAGCTGGCTCCACAGCAGTGAGATATGGCACAGGGGCAACACTTCAAGGTAGCAGAAGACAGAAAAAATAGCAAGAGCAAAAATGGGGAGAACAAACTTCTTTTCCTCTCTTATATAGTATGCAGGTTAAGAACCCCTAGGGAAGGTATAGCGCATAATCTCCCTGACCTCCTCCTGAACAGGATGAGGATGTTTACAAAGGGCCCTGGCCCCATGATGAATTACTTAAACTTCTAAACTTCTCAAGTTGACACAGTGTATCAACCATTACAATCTTCCACTTGTCAACTTGGCAACCAGACACATTTCTTTAAACTGCTTTCCAGATATAATGCATGCTTATTATTATCATTTTACAACTTGAACATTATAACACAGGATTAACAATCCCTAACAACCATTATTAAATCTGTCAGCATTATATTACATTAGAACCATAACATTTTGCCACTGGCTCCCCAAAGACTCATGCACATTCTTTTATGCAAAAGTCATTTAATCCATCTGCAAGTTGCCAAAATCCTAACAGTTTCAGCATTTCTGAGAAGTCCAAGTCCCAAGTCTCCTCAAGATGTAAGGCAAATTCTTACCTGCAAGCCTCTGTACAAATAAAAATAAAGTTAAACATACCAAACATTCAATGGCACAAGGTAAACATTTTCATCCCGAAAGTTACAAATGGGCATACAAAGAATTGGGACCAAAGCAAGTCCAAAATCCAGAAGGGCAAAAATTAAGTCCTGTAATTCCACGTGCAGAATCTGATGCAATCTGTGGCAAACTGTGAGCTCCAAAGGACTTTAATGAATCTATCCCATGGCTCTTCTGGTGGTTACAGTTCCCAAAGCTTCTCTCCTGTTTTGTGCCTCCTTGCAGCTTTCCTTATATGATTAGTGTTCCTGGATTTTCCAAATACCTAGAGTGTCCAGTACACTGTGGGCCTCACATTGACAGCTTCACATTGCCCTTTCAGAGGCACGCTTCTTGGCTTCCCAGGCCTTCGGAAATTGAGATGGAAGCCTTTTAACCTGATAACTCTTACATTATGCATGTACCTAAAACCAACACTATGTGGATGATTACAAAGTCTGTTGTCAGCTGGAGCAATTGCCAGACTTTATTCTCTCTTAGCTTTGGGGACAAATTTCTGGGTCACTGGGCATTCTAACTGAGAAATAAATTTTCTATGCTGCTGCCATTCTGGAATATAATGCTTTTCAGCTTTCTCCTCAAAACAAAGTCTTTCATTTTTGCAGTTTGGGGCTACAAAAAGTAGTGGCTTATTGCTTCTTATGATGCCCTCAGGACATTAGTTATATTCTTCTGTTTCTTCTCGGCAACTAAGTTTTCTTTAGTTCTGTTTTTGTAACCAACAACATTACTGAAGCTTCCTATCTGGCCAAACTCACAATGTTTTAAGTCACCCTGCTGGGCTCCTTGCTCTTGATTCACAACATAAATCTGACTAAAATCCTCCAACAATAACCATGTTACCACCTCAACATTTGACTGTCTTGAAAATTATTTTGCCAGGTTAATTAGTTCACTACCTTAATCTCAGTCTCAGACAACATCTCTGTACTTAAGCAAAATGCAGAGAAAGTTTCTGCCAACCTATAACATACAGCATCTCCAACAACCAACGCAGTCCTTCTTCTCAGCAGAAGCCTCCCTAGTCTGATACTTACCAGTTTTCCAATCTTCTGAGTCTTGACCAGAATTTCCCACACAAAACAGCCTAAGATGTTCCAGCACTACTCTTTCAGGTGACATCTCCAAATCTTTCCCAAACTCTTCCCACAAGTCATTCCCAAAGACTCCTGAACCACGTAGTGGTTACAGCAACAATCCCACTTCTCTGGTACCAAGTTCTGCTTGCTTGCTTTCCTCTCATTGTTGAGAGGAAACCAAAACCCAAAATTAAGGAAAGAAAGTTTTATTTAGCTTACAGTTTGTAGAATTTTGAGTCCATAATCACCTGGCTCCAAGGCTGGATGGCATGGCACAAGGACAACACTTCCAAGACAGCAAAAGACAACAAAAACAGCAAGAGCAAAAGGGAGGAGAATAAGCCTCTTTTCTTCTCTTATATTGTAGACAGACTGCCACCTCCTAGGATGGGTGTAGCACTCACACCATCTCCCTGCTGTCCTTTTGCACAGGATGAGGATGTTTACAAAGACCCTGGCCCCCTGCTGGTCACTTAGTTAAACTTCTAAACCTCTCAAGTTGACACAATGTATCATTACAAACTTTTGCAAACATATACCCATCTTGGCATCCCAATGAGAAACATGAACAGGTGCACAAACAAATTTTCCCTCTTGTGATAATACTTATTTTAGAGTCATTGTATTGGATGCAACCTGGTAGAAAATGTTGTGAAGTATTTTTACTTTTTAGTCCTAAATTCTTCCCCTCTCAACAAGGAAGACAGTAATTTGGAGCAGGCAAGATATTGAGCACTGTCCCTCTGTGATTGTGGGTGATCACTAGACAGGATGACTAGTGGTGCCACAAGTTCCATCTGCCAGGTTTACATCTTTTCCATAATGGGAATACTAAGGGCACTGGAAACTCAGGCTTGTAGTGGGTCTGTCACCTGTATAGTCTGTGGGATGATCCAGAGCATGCATTCCTAGATGCTATTTTTGGAGCCACAAATGTCTCCTGTCTGATTAATAGTGTTTTCTTTGAATGTCCGAGCAGATCAGAAATAGGATGAGGTCTTAGGGACTGTGTTTGTTTGAGGCATCCTACATGTCTGTTACCAGGTTCCCTCCTGCCAAACTTCAGGAGGCTGAGTTCATTGCCTGCCCTAGTAATCAAATTGCTGCCATGTAAGGCTGCTAATCCACCTCACTACGATTCTCCCCGCAGAGATTTTGGTCTCTAATGAAATATGGGCTGCTGTGTTTCTCTCAATCTCACGATTGTCGTTTACTGTATTGCAGTCACCTTTTTCTTGGGCTTTTCCTTTTATGAAGGCAAGATGTCTGTTTCTTCCTTGTAGCTCACTATGGTATACTGTGGACATGGAGAAGCTAGGGAGTTTGTGCCTACGCAGAGTGCATTACTTAATTCACCAAAATCAATTTCACCAAAATAGCTTGATATAATCAGAGGCAGGGATTATGGAGGGTGATTTCTAAGATATCTTCCCAACCAACACTATCAAAGTAGAGGATTTTCACTCCTGTCTGAGCTCATTTGCCTAAACTCAGATCTTGTCTTTTCAGTAACAGAGTGAATGTTCAGAGGTAAATTTATACTTTTACTACTACATTTGGAATAAAGTTCTTCCTCTTCACAGGTCACAGGTCACTCAATGTGGAGTGCATTGCTTTAGTTAATTTAGTTGTACATCTAAGTAGCAGTGTTCCAGAGTTTGGCCTGTTGCTGCTACTTTCCTCGAGCTTCATTTCCCTGATTTCCTATAGTTCTCCTATCTCCTCAGAGATCTATGTACCTCTCATTTTGGACAAATATTTAGGAGGGACTTGTGAGTGCTGGCTGCCCCTGCCTTCTTGCTTCCATACTCTAGAGTCTATCTTAATTTTTTAAAAATGAGTCAAATATGTTCACAATTCTGCAATTATATATCATTAATTTGGATTAAAGTCAAGACCAATCAATGGATTCCGGTGTTCAGATTGGAGATGTCCCATATTACCTCTCTGATATCACCTACTGCTTGCTCATTAGCTATGTCTTCAGGGACGTGTACATCCTTACTCTCCGGTGAATAATCATTTATAGACCGTTTACCTCAGTCATTCACACTCCCTCTTCCCATTGGTTAGGAAGATCTTACCCTAACCCTCTTTTGTATCACCTTCTTCAAGCTTAAAAAGCATTATTTTCTCTTTTGAACTTATATTGTGCACTGCAAGAAAATTGCAACTCTTTTCAGAAGTAATCCTGAATCCCTTCCCTCTGATCTATTTTATTTTAATTATATAATTTCAGATATGTCAGCTTCATGAAAGTAAATTATTTTCATGTTATATAAATAATTGTAATTCTAAAGCCACAAAGTCTGGCATGAGGTAAGTGCTCAACTGACAGTTGCTGAAAAAATTAATGAAAGAGTATGTGAATTAGTGAGTAAAAGACAAAACTTATCTGTAAGTTCTGGCTTTAAACCAAATATTTGAATTTGTGGATGTTCTTGATTTGAACTTGGCACTTAAAAATAAATTTGAACTTGACACTTTCAAAAAAGTTTGGTAACCTAAATTATTTTCAATTAACTTTCATACAAATTCTCATATGTACAGAAACATCTTGCTAGTTTATCCTTCCAGTTCATGCTCTTTCCAAAGTTTGACTATGAGGCAGTCATATAGTTCAACTTTGAGTGGGGTTGCGTTAAATTTTGTTTCTCACAGATTTCTATCCTAACAAATTTCCTGTACCTAGTGTAGTAAACGAAGGAATGAAATATGGGTGACAGAAACTGGTAAAATCTCAGCATTTATTTTCCTTCTAATGTCTTTGATTTAAAGACAAAAGTTGAAAGTTTTAACTTTTGGGAAAATACTGTACTTGAGACACAATTGAGTCTCAGTTAAACCAATAATTTAGAAACAGATCTTTGAGGTAATGAAGTAGATGGAGTTTTTTTCAGTGAAACTTTTTTCAGATAGCATAGTACATTTTAGGAATTGAAATAAACCAATAATGATTCCAGAAGCATGAGTAAAAATGGAATGAAATATGACTACATGATATAGAAATTCTGGACGTTTTCTTGTTTGCTATTGTTGTTTTATGAATAGATTCTTATCCTACAATACTAATTTATTTCATACTCAATTGTTGATATTCATTTGTTCTTGATATTCAAGTCAAATATCCCTGAGTTGATATTTACATTAAATTATTCAAACTGAATGAGAAAGTAACATTTCATCAACATAAAATACATAGAAGTCTTTTATATGGAAAGTCAGACCTTTTCTTTCACACTTTCTTTTTTATCACTATGTTAATTTTAGTTGGAATTACAAGGAGTGGTACAAATTGCTCAGATGATACAAGGACATGTCCACAGAACTGGGACCTGATCAATCAGACCTGCTTCTTTGAGTCTGAACATGAAGTTACTTGGGTTGAGGGACAGAAACTTTGCAGAAAACATCATGCATCTCTGGCCAAGATCTTCTCTCAGATTGAAATAGTAAGATTGTTTCTCAAAACACATCTAACAATTCCATGAGCTGTTATATGGGAAGGATATTTGTTGGTTTTTTTCTCTTAGACAACAAAACAGTGAACTATCTTAGTCCTTGTGGAGATTACACCCAAGAGAAAGGGACAGGTAGTCAAAAGCAATCATAATTAATAAGAAAATTACATAGTATTTTGGAGATTAGTAAGTTTTATGAAAAAGGTTACAAAGTAATGAAATGTCACCAACTGAGTAAGTTACAGGAAAAGTTTTAGCTCTTTAAGAATATGATGTCTGAGCAAAGATGTAAAGGCGGGTAAGAAGTTAGTTAAGAAGCCCTTTTTCAGGTGTCTCTAGGAAGGCTGCCTGAAAAAGAAAACTCTTTTTCTTTTTGGAAAAAAAGACACTCTTGGAAAAGAACATTCAGGTCAGGGCTAGAATGCTTCAGGAACAGAAAAAAAGGCAGCCAGTCTCTATGTTTAAAGAGAGAGGTGTGGATGTTTATCACAAAGGTCATTGTAAAGACTTTAGGTTCTTGTTCCAAGCAAAACAGTAAGATGTTTCAGAATTATATGCACAATTGTGATATGGTGTCACTTCAATGTTAAAAGAATCATTTTCCTTGCTGTGATGAGACTGGCAGCTGAGTGACATAAAAAGGCAGGAAATTATACTACCAATCAGTTACAATAACCCTAGTTAGTGGATAATGGACTCATACAAGGAGAGTAGCATTTTGTGTGGTAAAAATGAAAAACATAGGCAAGATCTGTGATACTTGTCTGTATTTTGTCCCAGGAATCTGTGAAGGACTATACAATAAACTCTACATACTGGATTGGGCTGAGAAAACACATTTCTGACAACAGCTGGAGATGGATAGATGGGAAATACTTTAATAATTGGTAAGCCTTATTGACATTTATTTACTATAGAATGTGTTGAGCATGGCAAGAATTCTGAATCTATCAGCAGTTACCACTGTAGTTTCCTTCACGCTCTTCCCCTAACCAGTCCTGCACAAACCAAAGAGAATATCCAGAGAGCCAGGCTTTCCTCAGTGAAGCTTTGCCTCAAAGGGCAACATTTACTTCCAGGTGTAGAATTGGACTGTTCTACATGTGAGACAGAAGTGTTCTGTTCATCCTAGACTTCATGCAAGTATGATTAGTTTGGTTCTTGTCTCCTTTGGACCTTTTGTACTTATTTATTATTTAGATCTGTCCTTTGAGTTCTTCATTGATGGGACAGTATTCAGTTATGTAAAGAAGTCTGCAGTTTGCACATTCATCAGAGTTGTGGAAACAAGGGAAGCACAATGTGAAAAAACTTGCTCAGTTTAATTAAAATCCCTGAACTCATCTGTACTTGTTGGATTAATTTTACTCATAGGTTCCATTTTTGTTCTAAAACTATTAAAAGTTTTTCCTAACTTGTGTGTATGAAGTATTTAGAATGGTATTATGTTCTCTATAGAGAAATCATTATGCTCCATGTACTGAGTCCTTCATGACAGACACTCACTTTGTGACAATAATATAATGCACCTACGTGCTACATTATATATATTTCATGGTAAATTTAGTAGCCAAAGTTTGTAAATTTAGAGAAGCTTCTGTGATTATTGTATTTACATCACGTTTGGGGTGAACGTATGCAGTAACTTGAGAACAATAGTGATTTGAAAATGCCAATTACATTTTAACCTTGAAAGTGTGAGATAAAATATTATACAAATTAACTTTTATACATAAAATATAAGCTAGCTTTTTTATATTTTCTTGAAAGAATATGGTAACACCAAAACATGGTGCTATGTTTTATATACAATCCCAGATTTTTTAAAAAATGAGAAAGAAGTAGAAGCTATTCGTTGATAAAAGGCCATGTATTTCTGTTGCTTTGATAATAAACACCAGGCCAGGCAGACTAAAAATAGTTGTGAAGGCTACAAGTGCAGGCGTAAGGTGCTGGCAGCATTGGTTTCATCTGTGGCCTGTTTCCTTGTCTTGTAACAGGTGAACATCTCAATCTTCACGTGGTTTACTTTCTGTGTATGTTCAAGTCAGTGTATCAAAAATCCCTCTTATAAGAACACAACATATTGAATTAGGTTTCCTAAAAAGAGATCATATAAAATTATTAACCCTTTTGAAACCTTAGATCAGTTATGGTTCCATTTGAAACAGTGAGAGTTAGGGCTTCAACATACAAAATCTGGGCAGAACATAATTCATAATAGTTGGTGAGTTCTCAGCTGGTACTGAGAAACACAAAAGCCATAACAATACTGTTTTCTCTCTCTACCTGCATGTTCTACAAGCATGGATTCATGCAACCGAGCTTGAAAACATCAGGAAAAAATAACTAGTCTATAGTGACCATGTACAAACAGTTTATCATTATTCCCTAAGCAATTCAGTATAACAAATATTTACACAGAATTTGCATTGAATTAGGTAGTACAAGTGATGCAGGGATCCTTCACAGTCTGCAGGAGAATGTAGATTAAATGCAAATAGTGCAACATGTATAGAAGACTTAAGCTTCTGCGGATTTTGGTATCCAGCAAGTTGGAGGTCTTTGAACTTGAGGGTAATGACAGATGGATGTACACAGATGTTTTGGAAATAGGCAGAATAAAACTCTGAAAGTAACCTAAAAGTTAGTAAAGTGTACACTGGTGTTGTCAAGCTCAAAAAACTGCAGTGTGGAAAACATCTTCATTCAGTATAAACAGAAATCATCGTAATTTACCATCCTACATTTTTCACTATGAATTTTCTATTTCATGCATTTATATGTGACCTAAAATGTGAATTGAGAAAACCTTTTCAAAGTACTTTGTTTATGATACTCTGTACATCATGCTGAATCATGTTGAGAATACTTATTTTGCCATGGTGGTAGCTGCAGAGTGGCCAAATTAACACCAATTTCAGCGTTAAATTGCACCAATCTTACAATGAATGAAAGGCAATCAATGAAATGTGAATTATATTTCCCTTTATATCATCTGTAAATGTCTAGATTCATTACTTTTTATCTTGAAGCATAAAGGGAGGAATACAATCTTCCACAAAATCATTTTCATGTTTTCTATGTTAGCAAAAGCAAAAAAGTGCAGGACTGTATTGTTAATGCAATGGATTAACAGTTTTCTCTTATACACCAGCAGTTCTGATCTAAAGGTTAGAGACTAATAAATGGAAAAACAGTTTATTTCATTTCCTGTGCTCTTTCTACATTGCACATCTGGAAACATTGTTACTAAAGCACAGAATGTGTGAGACTATGCTTTGTTACATTTTTATGAGATCCAATAAAGACTCTCTGTCTCTTTCTTTTCTAGGTTCAACATAAGTGGTTCAGGAGATTGTGCCTTTATGAATGATGATGGCATAAGCACTAGCAGTTGTAATGATACAAGAAGATATTTGTGCAGCAGAAAAAGCTATTGTATTTAGAATGGTTCTACTGCAAATAGAGAAAAAAATTCATATTCTGTCCATTTTAAACTCATATAGATACACTTTTCCTTTCAACGTGTCTTAAATGAGTCGATGAAAATTTAAATCAGTTTCATTTAAATTTAACTAACTGATAAGAAGCCTAAGAATTAAACTGAGTTTCACATGATGTTGCTACCCCACTTAAGTTGATGTATGCATGCCAGTGGTCTCAGAACTGGATTCCCAGCAATGCCTCAGTGCAACAAAATGGAGAGACTGAAAGATCCTTGCACCACTCTAAAATTCTGATGAATCTGCCTAAAAGAAGGTAAAGCAGCAACTCCTGAACATAACAGAATGGAAAGCAACTGAAAGGACAGAAAGATTTTTCTACCTTCTGCTGCTGAAGAACTCCAGACATCCATTCAACTAAATATGCCTAAAAGAAAAGAAAGAGTCGCAACTTTATGTGAACATTAACAGTGTTTCACTCATTCATAGTAATATGTAAGAATTCTCATTCAGAATCTGTAAAGATGACGCTTGGGAGAAATACTCAGAGGTTGATTAGGTACTGTATTGCCATCAGAGACCAAATTTCCAGAAAATAAAATTCATACTGAGCCATAGACAACTCTCCATGATTCTGTACATCCTTAGTCCATTACTAAATAGAAGAATCACTTAAATTAACCAGATTTCCTATTACCACTATTCCTGAAATGAGTGAAGAAATCAGTCTTTGTGACATGCATCATGCTGAGTAAAATATGAATGTTTAGAAAAGACCACAAGGAAAAAAGACCTGATTGTCACTAGTTAGCTTGATGACTTCATGATACCATTGCCCACTCTGTGGCTCAAGGACTTCTAAAAGGGGAAGATTCCATGAGGGCTTCCATGCTATTACCAATAGGCTGAGCATTCTTGTTCAGGTTGGATAGAAATCATGAATTGGCAAATACAACTCTCAGCCCTTAATTTTGTGGCCGAGTTACTGTTTCTCCTCCTCCTATTTCCCATCCTCATCCCCTTTATACCTCTTCTTCCTCCTCTTCTTTCCTTTACATTTTCCTTCTGTTTTTCTCCCTCTTCTGGCTTCTCTTCACCTGTCTATCCTTCTTCTTTTTCCCACTTCTTCTCTGTCTCTTTGTTCTTTTTTTCCTCTCCTTCTTCTCCTTTTTCTTAATCTTCATCTCCTTGTCCATTTTGCTCTTACTGATGCTGGCTTACCCCCTGCTGTCCCTTCTTTTTTCTTTCTCCTCCACTCTAAACTTCTTTAAAGCCAGTGACTTTTAGGGCTTAGTAAGTAGTTATTTGTGTTATATAATCCTTGGATATTCCCAATTTTCTACTCAGCAGCTGGAGCTCATCTATATACCTCTTCATGGATGTCTGGAGTTCTTCAGCAGCTTTGGGCATCTCTCAAGCATAGTCACAGGGCTCTGTGAGTCTTGGCTTGGCACTGTTGTACCACTCCAGCACGTTTCAGAAGTCCTCTGATTGGCAAGTATTCTCAAGACCAAAGCTCTCTTTATGATATACTGTTAGTGCAACCTGCTTATCCCATTCTCCTCAGTTAAACATCATGAGAAGGCAGAAAAATCAAGACTTTATTGTGACATGTGGAGCATTGCAGGGAGATAATGCCAAGAAGAGAGTCCTCCTGGCCTAACTGGAAAAGGGTAATGGGGATGCTACTTAAGGAAAGACCATGGCTGACATGTTCATTGTTCTGCATTTCTTAGAACCGTTTTAGGACTTTGAGTACAGTGGGAGGAGTCATCTGGAGAGATTTTAGGGTGATGTCATGTAGGATAGGTCTGTTTGGAGCTTGCAGCAGCCAACTCAAATATCTTATAATGTGACCATGAACCATCTAGAGTAACCTCAGCTCTCATGGTGACAGCTCTTGTGAACTGCAAAAATGACTGATGGACATCTGCCATTTCAACCTGAACTGATAAAGCCAAAGTTGTGACTAGAACTCCTTTCAAAGAGTCTCTATGAGCGACTGCTACAGTGTTGATAATGATTTAATAGGGTTTGGGGAGTTGGAAGATGATGGCAGTGGGACCCAGTCCCTTGCATATCTTTGCCCTGTCAGGCACAGTCTTCCTGACAGAGAAGGCAGTAGCACCTGAACAGACAGGAGTGAGGGAGGACCATCACAGCCAGGGCTCCTGTCAGCAAAGAAGGAGCAAGCTGTGGTGTAGGGTGTTGTTGAGACAAACTTCAGTGTTGGCTGAAAGACATGTGCTAGTCCTGGGTCACTTTCAAGGGAGCAAAGAGGAGACATGATGTGGCTGGCACTGAGATGATACTCACTCTGGATATCTCCAAATTGGATCTTATTGTCATAACTCATTGTGACTTGAATGATGATCTCTCTGAATTCTCAAAAGCTGAGTTCCTCAGATTTTTGGTAATTCTTAAACACATTTCAGAGAGAGTAATAATTAACATCTGACCACCAATAAAAATCTCTTTACTTTTCAAATTACTTTAGCCTAAATTTTTATTATTTGTATATTTATGACCATAATGAACAGCTTTATTTTAGTATTAACTTGTACTATGAACTATGGTATTTTTATTAAGTAGTTTTCTTAAATGAGCAAATTAAAATTGATTGTATACCTAAGGTTATATTAAAATGATAGAACTACATATGAAATAGAATTCTGTCTTATGCACATGACAGATATTTAATGTACATGGGAACTAGTATAAAAATAAATCATATTCAGTATCACAGAAATCACATTCAACACTTCTTGTATTCTCTAGAGGGACAGAGATTTGCTAGTGTATAAAATATGCTACCAAGTTAAACACATGTTCATTAACATATGATTAGGAACCTGTGGAAGAATAAAAAATTTCTTAGTTTTTCACATTCCTGTGCTGCAAAATATAACTGTTGTCACCAAAAGGAGAAAATGGAATGGGCTTGTGCATGTTCAAAGGGATGGCTTAAATGGGTTCTTCACTGATGCCCTCGGGAGTGGTGATGATCGCATTGAGGGTGATGTCTTGTATCTCTTCATCTTTAAACTGCCATCACAGTTGGACACAATGTTAGAGGCAGAGTGATCAGTGATAAAGACTTTTAAGCTAAGAAGGGAAACAGAGATAAAGAAAGACATTGGGGTAAACTTCACGATGACCGCAAAGGACAGGAGTTTGAACATTTAAAAGAGCATATCTTTTCAGTCTAGGTAAATGTGATTCATCTTCTTTTAATTTTCTCCAATGACAGTATCTAGTGTGAACCTTTCACATTGGTATCAGATCATGATATGCTGCGTTCCTCTCCGTAAGTTCACTTAGATTTCGCATTCTTAGTGACGTCATCCTGACAACTCTGTTAAATTACAGTGTTCCTACACTAACATTATTAATCAACTCTGTTTTATTTTTCTTTTTTTAATATAGCTTATTGTACAGTGACATATGACATTTATTAATTTTAGTCTTTTAAATATGGTTAATTTTCCTGGAGTGGAAACCTTGTGAGTAAAGGACTTCTGAATGTTAATTTCATATATATATGTTCCAAAAGCTCAGAGCCATATCCAATACCTGTTAGACACTCTATTTATTGAATAAAATAATATGCCCAAAAAACATGTATATATATATATAACTCTAAAGGCAACAAATAATGAGTACATACTAATATGTTGAGAGTATGGGGCACTAATTCTGGGTTTGATTGTCATGAATTATCGGGTCCTGACCTAGACCCCTGATCTCCCAAACAAGTATACAGCAGAGGTTAAATAAAAAGAAACAAATTGTATAATTTTTTTAGGGCTCCAGAAGGATCAAAACCCTTTAATTAAGCTCATGACTCTGAGGGCTAAGACAAAAAATATGCTGAATCAGTCCACTTTTATTAGTACCAAGGACAAAAGGTGGAGAAATTGACGAAAGTGCAGGCAATGAGCAGGACCTTGGGAGTTACCTCAAGGTAATCCAAGTAAAGAATCAAGTCAATTCAGTAGCTCTGTCTTATCATGAAGACATGGTAGAAGTGAGACTATAGGAGTAATCTGTGCAGCTGCAATCTCTACCTAGTTAATTGGGGTTGGAGCCAGAGTGTCCCCAGCTGTGACCGTATCTTGCCCTTTGAGGTATCTCTGGCCTCACAGGCCACTACAGGCCTCAGCCAGGACCGGTGATTCATAGAGGTTCACTTACTATGAATGAGCTCCCGTCGCCAGGCAAGGGGCCTAGGCCTAGGACAGACTCACAGATAAACATAGAAAGCCAATCAGTAAAATTTAAATCCTGCTCAGAGTCACTTCATAGTGGTCTCCAACAATGAATAATGTTTCCAAAAATTTTCTCCGAAGGAGCTGAGAATTGAAGTCAAGAATTGCATTTGGTTCACCAACCTTCTGAAGATCCAGTGTATTCTTGTAACAGTGCATGCTTGTGTATTTTGTTCACCAATGTCTTCCTTTGGAGTAATATTAATTACCGGTTAGTAATCTGCTTTATTCTCAGGGGCAAAATTAGGAAATCTATTGTTTAATACACTTGTGGCTTTATTATTCAACATCAATATTATCAGGAATAAAGCTATCATTTGTCTGACTCATGCTTTTTTCTCTTGTTTTTGAAACTTACAACAATAAGAAAGCTTTTCAAATAAATGTTTTCATAAAATATCTTCCAACAGGCCAGAAAGAAAGTTCCCTCAGGCTGTCTGGGCAGGATTCCCTGCAGCCACTGCTCCACTCGATGGAGAAATAAGATACTTCCATGACAAAGATCAGCTGAAAATCTTCATGAACACCAAGCCAACCCTGCAAAGAATGCTGAAAGACAGTCTAGATACATTTAGGAAAAAAGCACTAAACAAAGCAGACAAACAGAGCAGAAAGATAAGCATGCTACAGCAGAAAGATAACATGTCAATAATAAACCAATATATAACAGTTCTAACTATTAATGTAAATGGTCTCAATACACCAATTAAAAGAAACAGACTGGGAGAATGAATCAAGAAACAAAATCCAACCATATGCTGTCTAAAAGAAAACCATTTAACCCAAAAGGATACTCCCAGACTGAAAGTGAAAGGATGGAAAACAATACCTCATGCAACAGGAACCCCCAAAAAAGCGGGGATAGCTATTCTGTTTGCAGTCAAAGTGAACTTCAAGCCAATAATGATCAGAAGGGATAAAGGTCACTACATACTGGTTAGGGGAAAAATCCAAGAAGAAGAGATAACTATCTTAAATATATATGCACCAAACTCCAGAGCACCAAGTTATATAAAACAAGTACTAACAGAAATGAAAAACCAAATCAGCAGTAACACAATTCTAACAGGAGATCTTAACACACCATTGACATCAATGAACAGATCAACCAGACAGAAAAGAATTGAATCACACCTGTGAACAAATGGACTTAATAGACATATACAGAGTATTCCACCCAACAACGGAATACACATTCTTCTCAGCAGTACATGGGATGTTCTCTAAAACAGACCATATATTAACTCACAGAACATATTTAAATAAATGCAAAAGAGTTGAAATTATCCCTTGCATGCTATCGGATCATCAACACCTATTTCGAAAAACTCTACTCTCAAAGGATTGATAACATAGAAGAAATAGACAGATTCTGAGAAACACATGAAGTACCAAAGCTAGATCAAGAAGATGTAAAACTGTTGAATAACCCAATCTCTGTTAATGAAATTGAAAATGTAATTAAGTCCTTACCCACCAAGAAGAGCCCAGGCCCGGATGGATTCGCTGCAGAATTCCACAAGAAACACAAAGAAGACCTAATGCCGACACTCCTCAAACTATTCAATGAAATTGAAAGGGAAGCAGTCCTTCCTAAGTCTTTCCTGAAAGCAAATATTACTCTAGTACCAAAAGCTGAGAAAGACCCAACTAAAAAAGAGAACTATAGACCGATCTCCCTAATGAACACAGATGCAAAAATCCTCAATAAAATATTGGCAAATAGGATGCAGCAAATCATCAAGAAGATTATACACCACAGCCAAGTGGGATTCATCCCAGGAATGGAGGAATGGTTCAACATACGTAAATCAATAGATGTAATCCACCATATCAATAAAGCCAAAAGTAAGAATCACATGATCATTTCTATAGATGCAGAAAAAGCCTTCGATAAGGTCCAACACTCATTCATGATAAGAACTTTCCAGAAAATTGTAGTAGATGGTCTTTACCTCAATATAATAAAGGCCATTTATGACAAACCAACAGCCAGCATCATACTAAAAGACCAAAAATTGAAAACCTTTACTTTAAAATCAGGCACAAGACAAGGATGTCCTTTATCACCACTCCTATTTAATATAGTACTGGAAGTACTAGCCTAGAGCAATTAGATAAGAGAGAAAAATAAAAGGAGTAAAGATAGGAAAAAAAGTTAAATTGTCATTGTTTGCAGATGACATGATTCTCTACATAGAAGACCCCCTAAACGCCATTGAAAGACTCTTAGATATAATAAATAAATTCCGTAATATAGCTGGATACAAAATCAATACTCAGAAGTCAATAGCATTCCTATACACTAAAAACAAAATCACAGAGAGAGGAATAAGAGAAGCCACACTCTTTACACTAGCAAGCAAAAAAATGGACTACTTAGGAATTACTCTTATGAAAGAAGTAAAAGACCTATACGGGGAAAATTATAATTCACTGAAAGAAGAAATTGAAGATGATCTCAGAAAATGGAAAGATATCTCTTGATCATGGATAGGAAGAACAAACCTTGTGAAAATGGCCATTCTTCCAAAAACTGTTATACAGATTCAATACAATCCCAATAAAAATACCATCAACATAACTTATAGATCTAGTGAAATCACTCCTAAAATTCATCTGAAACCAGAAAAGACCTAGAACATAGCAAAGGCAATTCTAAGCAGCAAAGGCAAGGCAGGAGGCATCACAATCCCTCACTTGAAGTTATACTACAAAGCAACAGTAGTAAAATCAACATGGTACTGGAATCAAAACAGAGACAGAGATCAATGGAATAGATTAGAAGATACAACCACAACTACAAACACACTCAACCACCTTATCTTTGATAAAGGAGCCAAGCAGTTTCACTGGAAGAATGACAGTCTCTTTAACAAATGGTGCTGGAAAAACTGGCTCTCCATTTGCTGAAAACTAAAACTAGACCCAAGCCTATCACCATGTACTAAATTAAAATCTAAATGGATCAAAGATATGAATATTAAAACAGAAACACTAAATCTATTGGAAGACAAATTGGGTAAAAACCTTGAAGACATAGGGGTAGGTAGAGAATTCATGAACAGGACTCAAACTACACGGGAAATACTTCCCAGAATCAATAACTGGGAACACCTCTTATTAAAAAGCTATGTAAGTCAAAAAAAATCTCCAGCATAGTGAAAAGAAAACCCACAAACTGG